CGCATTCATTACATATGCACTTTTTCTAAGCACTGATATTTATCTCGACCAACAACATAAGGTACCGAAATCATTATGAATCCTTTCATTATTGCTAAAACAATGCTATTTAACGCATGATGCATATTCAAAATGCATCATGCGTTTTAAAATACCATCGCTCCGAAAGAGATGCTTTTATTTATCGACTGATCTCCGTTTAGAAGTCTGATATAAAAGGGTACCCTCCGAGGATCGAACTCATTACATTAATGATTTTGAAGGACTAATGTGGCAGGCGTCAATAGGTGTTTTTAAAAGATTAATTTAATCTTACATGCTAAGGAATTTGTTTAGAGATCGAATTCTTACCTAAAAATATTTTCTGGCTTTAATAACCCTCAAAATATTGATCAGCCGTAAAAATCAAATCAGTTAATCGATATATCTATCACATTCTATTCCTTCCTATCGATCTATCTATTTCATTATGCTGATTATGTTGAGTATCTGGTGGACTGCTATTGGTGTTATCTATTACAGCTTTCTGGGATCTAATCAGAGCATCACTGCCGAAGTTTACTGACACCTACTGGATGGAATACACAGTCAATTATGCAAAATGCGATCGGCTCTGGTTAATCGACGAAGTCCAATTCTTCTTAATGACAATGCTCAGCCACCTGTTGCCAGGATGTCATTGCAGAAGCACACTGACTTAGGATACCAGACTTTGCTTCCCCCACCGATCTCTCGCCCACTGACTACCACCAATTCAGGCATCGTGGCAATTTTTCATACCAAAAGATATTACGTTGAAAAGTAGATGCAGAAATTGCAGTCAATGATTTCTTGGCCTGCAAACCATTAGAGTTTTACGCTACAGGTATAAATAACCTTGTAACTCAATGGCAGAAATGTATAGTTTTTTTTTAATCGAGTTCACTCCAAGCAAGGCGGTAAAGCCACTAAGACACAAGAGGTTACTGTGAAAGAATTAGAAAAAATATACATTACTAAGAAGCAAGACCAAAAGAAGAGTTATCAGGAGGACAGTAGATAGCGACTGACTTAATGAAGATTAAAGTTGACTGGAAAGCATTTTGACTAATTTAAGCACTGTTTACATATATTAATTCAGGGATACAAGGTGATTCTAAAATCGGACATAGTTTTCTGAACAACTTGTTAGGTTAATTTGTTAACAGTTCACAGCGTTTAAAGACCAATTAAGAATCAAATTCATAGCGTAGCGGGCCCAGAGACGAACTTGTTAACCATCGCAGTCAAGTGGTTGTCTTTCTGATGAGGTTTTCTAACATAAGAAAACTGTAACCAATTTTCTAGATGCATGTCAAATTTTCAAAATCTGATGTTGACACGTTCTTTTCTCCAACCCCGTGAGTCCCAACTAGGAACACACATCCCACGGGTAGTAATTTAATTTTTAAGGGTGGATTCGAGAATGAGTTATTAACAGAATTTTTTTTTCTAGTGAGTCAGTGTGGATAAAAGTGTGTGTGCAAGTTAATATATGCGTTGCATACACAGTATGAATATATCAAAAATATTTCTGTACGGTGTTCGATGTGTAAATTGTCGCCATTTTATATTTTTAATTTCGTGAATGTGGGTTGTTTTTTTATTATTTTGTCGACGGCAATGTAGAGTAGGATCAGTTGGGCACCGTCTGTGAGAAAAAGAACACCATGGCGCAATACATTCTGCCAGAAATTTGGAAACAGCATTCTGTACTGCTTGGAATTCACGCCAGAAACACAAATACGAACATTTCAGAGTGTTTGGGTGTCATCCTGAAGACAGTGTAGAGGATTCGGAAAGAGTTCGATGAGTTTAATGATGATTAAGAAGGTGTTTGGAGTGATCACTAGTGATGGTGACGTTATGCCTCCATTCATCTTCCCACAGGGCCCCAAACTCATCTAGTGCCTTGATGAGTTAGTGCTGCCCTTGGTCAAGAAGGTTGCTGGACTCTGTATCATGATGCACATGCTAGGGACCCTAGTCATAGCTGTCAGACAATTTCTTTGACATTTTCCCTTACATCTGGCTACCTAACTTTCCATACTGCAACCCACTTGATTATTATGTGTGGGGCGCAGTTGAGTGAGAGACCAATAAAACTCCTTGTAATACCGAAGATGAACTGAAGGCAAGGATTATGGCTGTATTCACCAACTTAAACCGTTCAGAAGTTTTTTGGAGGTCGTGGTTGAAGCCAATGACAATTTTATTGATTTTTTTTTTTAATATTTCAAGATATTTTTGTGTAATTTTGGTAAATATATCTGTTAAAATGAGATGTCAGTGTTATTTTCATGACATCGTACACTGTATGTATGTACATTGGCAACTACGCATTTACTGTATATATATATATGTATATATATATGTATATATATATATGTATATATATATATATATATATATATATATATATATATATATATATATATATATATATATATATATATATATATATATGTATATATATATATATATATATATATATATATATATATATATATATATATATATATATATATATATATATATATATATATATATATATATATATATATATATATATATATATATATATATATATATATATATATATATATATATATATATATGTATATATGTATATATATATATATATATGTGTGTGTGTATGTATGTATGTATGTATGTATGTACTATTTTTTTTAACAATTTCTTAGTAATTTCTCCCTCAGTAAATGTCTTTTCACTCTTTCATTTTTCTCTTTGCTGGATGCCAGGTTCTTTGGAAGCTTTTTAATGGCCTTTTAGGCTTCCTCCATGTGAATAGGAGTTCACTTTTTAAATAATAAGAATTATATGTCACAGTGGGGGGGGGAGGCATCAAAATTTTAGAATTGCTTAACTGGGACATGGCCAAAAAAAAAAAAAGTTCGGAACCACTGGTCCAATCAATTACCAAAACCTGACTAAATGGCCAGACATCAGATTTTGTTTCTGCTTAGTCTGACCCAGTTATGACGTCACAAGATAAGAAATCGGTTGGGATGGGGGGAGGGATGTAAATCAGATGTTAAAAAGTGGTAGAAATTTCAAAAATTTCTGGTTGTATATTTTTTATCTCATCTTCTCATAAAATGATTTTGTCCTGTTTCCTATTTTGATTTTAAATACACAATTTTTTCTCATTCACTCTTTCTTTCTCTCTCTCTCTCTCTCTCTATTTCTTTTTCTCTCTCTTTTTTCTCTCGCCTTTTCCCTCGTTTTCTCTCCATCTCTTTGCCTCTCTTTCTCTTTCTTGCTCTCTTTTTTTCTCTCTTTTCCTATTCTTTGTCATATTGTGCATTAAATTATAGAATAGATTACAAGTTCATTAACTTGTACACAAAATTATTTAATATCTATAAGAGTAATGAGCCTTCTATATTCCATGCGGTTAGATTCAAAATAAAATAATGCTTTGATTGATTTGTTCTGTCCGACTTATTAACCCTTTTCATGTTATCTAAAATCAGAATAAAGATAATAATGATTTAGTGGTACAAATCTTACTAATTAACCCATAGCTAGGGGAGAAGAGGTGAATTCATCCCTTTCCCAAGGATAGTTGCGCGTAAGTGAAAATAACGAACCCAACTGGAATTGGAACTCTGATCTCCGATTAACAATTCCGAGCCATTACTCATTACACCACGCGCCCATACAAGCTTACAGCGCCTGGTATTCTCAAGCAGTCAACCATCTAGATACTGACCATGCTCGACGTTTCTTAACTTTAGCTATCGTACGGGAATCGGTGTTTCAACGTGATATGGCTGTAAGCCAAAAATAATGATTTAAGAAAGATTTCGTTTTGTTTTCCGACTTAGCACCCAGACTTTCAGTGCCGTTGAGTTGTGAGGCAAATTAAACCTGATAATGTCCCATAAAATTTGATGTCACCGGCTCACGAATACTTTCAAGAACTAAGAAGATCATGCAGCACCAATCATTCTCTCCCACCTCTCTCTCTCCCACCTCTCTCTTTTCCCCACCTCTCTCTCCTCCACCTCTCTCTCTCTCACTCTCTCCCCACCTCTCTCTCCCCCACCTCTCTCTCACCTCTCTCTCTCCCAACTCTCTCTCTCTCACCTCTCTCTCTCTCACCTCTCTCTCTCTCACCTCTCTCCCCACCTATCTCTCTCCCTCCTCTCTCTCCCCCTCTCTCTTTCTCTCCACCTCTCTCTCTCTTTCTCTCCCCTCTCTCTCTCTCTCCCACCTCTCTCTCTCCCACCTCTCTCTCTCCCACCTCCCTCTCTCTCTCCTCTCCCTCCCTCCCTCTCTATCTCTCCCTCTCTCTCCCCCTCCTCTCTCTCTCTCTCTGTCCCACCTCTCTCTCTCTAGCAGATTAGTGGTTGCCTCACAAGCAATGCTCTTCGCTGTGAGTACTTTCTCTGAGATTTGGATTTATGACTTCCCACAACTATAATTTCACAAAACAGACAAAAGTATCTTATCAGCTCGATTTTTAGTGCTTTACTTCTGCCACCGTTCCACAGCCCAGCAAATAAAATATAGCGAGGTATCTCCCATTTTATAGCAAGCTGTTTATTTTACATACTTACAGATGCAAAATACGACGCAGGAGGTGCTGTCTGTGAAAAATATTCCATCTACTTATTTCGCATGCAATTTTCAAACGAGACAATGTTTGCTGCTGATATCAGGTTGTAATTCCTAAAGCCATAAAGAAGTGTTGCGTTTTCGTTTCAGGGTTTGATTGATTTGTTTTTTACGGTTTATCAACCTTTGGCAGGTTATTTAAATTCAGAAAATATTTTTAGATTGTACGAATTTCTTTTGGTGATAATAATGATTTACTGATACAAGTCCTATTAATTAACCCATATCTGGAGGGAGAAGAGGTGGATCCCAAAGGTATTTACGCGTAAGTGAATATAACAAAACCGAATGAAATTGAAACTCGGCCCTACTATTTCATCACCCACACATACAAGCTTACAGCACCTGATATTCACAAGCGGTCACCCATCTAAGTACTGAGACGACACGGCGTTGCTTAATTTCGGTGATCGTACGAGTTTCAACGTGATGTGACCGTAACCGTATCGATATAATTTTGGTTTTACCTTTTTAACGAATTTAGGAGTTACTGTTTGGGACAGAGTACATCGGTATTATTTTATATTTCATTTTTTATTAGTGTGATGTTACATTTTTTTTTCAGACGTTAGTTAACAAAATACAGTGTAACCCGGATATAAGAGACCCGGATATAAGAGAAACCCGGATATAAGAGAGATTTTCTCTGGTCCCAAATTAGAGCCCATACTTACCTAAACAAAATAAACCAAACCCGGATATAAGAGAAACCAGGATATAAGAGACTTCTTCTCCGGTCCCGACAACTCTCTTATATCCGGGTTACACTGTAGTTCAAATTAAAAAAAAAAAAAAACGTGGCACTCGCGCCCGTAACTAAAATTTTGACAGGACGCGATTTAAGTCCAACCGATCATTGGGCCTTTTAAGCGACCGCGACGTAAAAACGAGTCTGGTTGTGTAGAATACTGACGACTTATTTCCCGTGCTCAAAGTACTGGCAACTCGAGGGCGTCATCATGCCGCCATGTCATGCGTTTGATATCACCTAAAGCTTATAAAAACATACTTTTGATCGACTATGACTCAAGACAGATTAAATTCTTTGGTTATTTGGTAAAGAAGATAGGTATAGAAAGTGCCATGAAAAGATTTGCAGATCTAAAACCTAGAAAAATGTTTTAGGTAGGATAATGAATGTTAGCTTTTATTAAGTTGTATATTGTAAAAAACTCGTTATTCTACATGTGGCTATCTTTAAAATTATACTATAATGGCGTCGAAGTTCAGCTTGCCCAGGGTACCAGCAAAACTAGGACCGATCCTGCCACCAAATACTAAATATAGTGTAAAATATACGCAGTTAAAACAATTAATTTCTTAAATGTAATATAAATTCAACTAAATACAAGTTATCGTTTATTTTGTTGAATACATTGCTTTGAAGATAAAGGCACTTCTGATAATGGTAATATTAGCAATTTCTTTATTAGGAAAAATCTATTAACCGAGAAGACAGTGCTACAGTCGGTTGAAATTTAGAAAATTTTTCAGAAAAATAAGTTTCTTAAACTGTTATTATTGCTCTTTCTAGTACTGATGAAAATAAGTTTCTTAACTGTTATTGCTCTTGTAAGTACTGATAGAGGTTTCCTTCCTAACCTTTTGTTTGATGTAGTGTGTAACTTCGACATCTTGATTATCTCATTATTTTCTTTTCGAGTTATATGTGTTATCCAATTTAGTTGTTGAAAGTCCTCAGTTATTTGGGTACAGTTCTTTGTATTTGTGTAGCGCCAGTCCACGACATTCGAAAGAATTATCCTCGCTACAACCTACACGGATAATCCGCTCGAATCTATTTTAATGCCAGAGATTTAGGATATCAAATAAAAATTCCGAACTTCTTTTGTCCGTAGCATTTCAAACTATAAATGACTTCTTTTTTTTCTTTGTAGAATCCTGCTGTGACCCTTTACACTAATGTCAAACTGTTAAGGCAATTGATTTGGAGACGATGGAATTTGTAGGGTACATTCTGAGAGACAATTGGAGAATTTAAATCAGCAAAGCACATGCCTTGTCTGTTATCCTCAATGCACAACGAAAACAAAAGAGTAACCTGAGGTTAAATTAAGGTTAATCGGAATCGATATTGTTCTTGGAAACCATAAAGATTGAACGATATATTATGCTACGTTGTGACGTTTACGAAAAGCAGACAGAAAGGCGGACAGTCAGATAGTAAAAACAAACAACACAATAATCTCCAGTATACAAAGGTCCGAGCTGGGAACCTGTGATAGCGCATTGATTAGTAAACCTGTGTCGCATAGAATTGCTACAATAATGACTTCATTCCGCAGAATTATTTTAGCAATTTCGAATTGATCTCAGTTTAGTAAATATCTAGTCATTTGCCAATGATTAACGTCCAACTGCTTATATAAAAAGACTGTTTCTACTACAGTCACAAAGAGTTGCGTTTGCAGATTTCTTTTTCGTTTTTAACTTCCAGTTGGTATTCACTTTTATCATAAATTTTTTATCATACTATTGCAACTCTAACACCTTGTAAACCAAACTTATCGTGATTTTAAGTCCAATTCTGGTTATAAAAAAAACGATTTGCGACGAAAATCCAATTCACGCCGAAAATTGAGTTTTCAGATCGCAAAATGCGTGGAACTTCAATCACAAACTCTGCGGAACTTCAAAGCCTTACATCACGAAACCTTTCAATTTAACTATTTAAAATATTTTTTTTTTTAATTCACAAAGTTTTTGTGTTGCTTTAAACTCAATATAAAATAAAAACTTCTAAAATCACTAAATTTTTTCAGTTACTTTAAAATTTGAATTTTTAATTTTTCCCTCCTCATCCGGACACAAATCCCAATGCTGGATGTTCAAGCACCAAATGAAGGGCAGATTTACAATCCCGACATCATCTTAATTCCAAAAAGTATGGCCCAAGTCAGAGGTTTCCGATACACAGACGGAGAGACAGAATTTGCAGTTTATTTATTTAAACGATACGAATTCTTAACAAAAAGTCATCTTGTCTCATCAGTGCTCACCGTCACATTCATTTTGTGGGTCGATGGGCATTAATGACTTATAGGTAGAAATCTATCATTAATACTGGATTTTACAGTGTAGTATTAGTAGTAGTTGTAGCCTTGTCGACACTGTAGTAGTAATAGTAGTAGCCGTAGTCTTGTAGACTTCGCTGTGGACCATAGGACCCCAACACTACACGTCAGTGCTCAGGTTACTATAGCAAGTACGTTTTTATGAGCTGCTAGCCTCATGCCCAACCTGATTTGAATTTGGAGTTGTCTTTCTCCTAGAGTGGTTACCAATCAAGGATAGAAAATCCAATCTGTCTTTAGCTGTGGGAAAAAGAGATGGATTCATACCTTTCAAAGCGTATTTGTTCGAAGGTTGAGATTTGAACGCGACGTGTCACTCTAACTTGCCGCGCCAATAACTCTACGCCACATGCACATCGTCCAGTGGTCAGTAATGGGTTAAGTTTAAAATGCACGTTTGAAGATCACTCAAATCTATACATTATTAAACTTCTGTAAAAATAAGAAGCGATTTTAGTCCTCATTGAGAACTATACATGTCTGTGTATGTGTTTGCGTTTGTAGATAGAAACAAAGAAAAGACTACTGAAATGTTATGTAATATCAGTCCTTCTATATGGAAGTGAATGCTGAACAATCTCCTCACAGATGAAGAAGTCACTTGAAGCAAGAAAAATCTAGTTCTACAGAAGGATGCTGAGAATACCATGGACCGAACATGTGAGTAATGACGAAGTAATGACGAATTTTTTGAGAAAATGGAAACAAAAAGGCCACTTATACTTAACATCGGAGAGAAAGAGAGTTGAAATCTCTAGAGTACGTTATGAGGAAAGAGGGCTTGTAAAATTTGATACTCGCATGACTGATTGAAGGCAAGAAGGACAGAGGAAAACAATGCATAACCTACCTAGCGAGCATGAGTAATGGATGGCAAGACAGGGTTTAGGAGAGATAACAAAAGGATAAAATTTATTAAGAGCGACAAAAGAACATGCATTGTTAAAAGCCATGATCGCCCAGTATCCTGAAGGAATTACACCACATAAAAGAAAAAGATTGAAGATGAGAAAATTGAAATATGTTTACATTAATGTATAGACATAATATTTACTACATTAATATATAGACATAATACTTACTACATTATTGTATAGACATAATATTTACTACATTAATGTATAGATATATTTACTACATTATTTTATAGATATAATATTTACTACTTTAATATATAGACATAATATTTACTACATTATTGTATAGACATATTTCCTAAATTGTTGTATAGACATAATATTTACTACATTAATGTATAGATATATTTACTACATTATTTTATAGATATAATATTTACTACTTTAATATATAGACATAATATTTACTACATTATTGTATAGACATAATATTTCCTAAATTGTTGTATAGACATAATATTTACTACATTAATGTATAGATATATTTACTACATTATTTTATAGATATAATATTTACTACTTTAATATATAGACATAATATTTACTAAATTATTGTATAGACATAATATTTACTACATTAATGTATAGATATATTTACTACATTATTTTAGAGATATAATATTTACTACTTTAATATATAGACATAATATTTACTACATTATTGTATAGACATAATATTTCCTAAATTATTGTATAGACATAATATTTACTACATTAATGTATAGATATATTTACTACATTATTTTATAGACATAATATTTACTACTTTAATATATAGACATAATATTTACTACATTATTGTATAGACATAATATTTACTAAAATAAATTTAATAATAACATAAAAACAAGCTGGAGAAAATGGCATTTGGAAGATGATGGGCAAACCTGTTTTGTTAAATCAGCATTAACGACTCCGGCTTTTACTTTTGTTTGACCAATAATCACTGGAAAATACGTAGCTATCAAACCCACAAAATGAGACCCAAAATGATAAGCTAAAAAAAATAATGACTCACCATCGCTCTTGGCTGACGTAGGAACATTCCATCTTTTGGACCTGCAATTAAAAAGTGTAATTATTGATATTAGAATGGAAAAAGATAATATTACATCCATCCCCAACAAAGAAAGGAAATTTTCTTAAATATTTAACGATTTAAAGCAGCGTTTCTCAACCTGTCCGCCCCGGCGGAGTAATGAGCCCTGAAAGGTAACCCGTTGTACCCAAGTCTGAAAGGTAGCCAGGATGCTGAAAATGCCATGTACTGAATATGCAATCAAAGACGAAATTCTAGAGACAATGGCAACAAAAAAATATCTAAGATACATAAGAGACAGTTGAAATTTATAGGAATCATACTGAAGAAAGACGGCTTGGAAAATTTTATACTAACAAGAGAAATGAAGGC